CCTGTAACTTTAGGAAACTTAAACGCAGTCGAGATGGATCACATTTTACTGTATTTAGCTGGTTTGCTGTCGATGGACTGGCACTTACGTAGCGCTGTTCTAGTCTTATTGACCAGAAACACTGGGGGCATTTTGGGGTACGTAATGAGGACCGGAGGCAGCAAACACTGAAGTTCCAATTAGCAAAAACCCTGATCCTCTCAACCTCCTGAAATTTTAAGAACAAAACCCAGAGGACGGACCTGTCGCTCCACCTTACAGACGCGACCCAGCATGCTCATGTCCTCCAGTATATCGCCATCAGAGAGCAGCTTGTCTCTAATCTTCTTATCCAGAGGAATTTGGCCCTTCCCAAGGATTTGGTCCACCCTGAAATGCACAGAAATACAAGCAAACACAATAAGATATTAATTTTAAAATGTACAAAGGAGGACTACAAAAGGAAGGAAAATTAGAACCGTTTATCTAAAGTAAACCTTTCCCCGAATAAAACAAATCCAAACACGAGAGATTATTCTTCCTCACTGGACTTCACACTTCCAAACATTACCAACCAGATTACATTTTACCAATTAACAATACAACTTTTTATTTCAGACTCTAAACATTAGAGTCTTATATTTTGGTTTACACATGATTATATTTATGTCTAAATGCTAAATCCAGTCAGGCTCTGTGGGATCTGGTTAATAAAGTCTGTTTGTGTTAAAGCTGACAGAGAGCACAGAAAAACTGAGCCAAGATCATGCAATCACGAGTTCACCAAAAGGAAGAAGAAAAAGTCAGGTGTGGACACCCTGTATGTCACCACTAAATCATGCTAGAAGAAAAGGGGATCGAGCACTACACCGGGAAGTTAGATCTGGATTCTAAAACTGTATTTTTACAGGAGGAAGCGAGAAGAGTTACGACACTCGTTCATTGTAAATCAGTCCAATTTCAAATAAGAAATGTAATTCAGGATAAGATGGGCAGGAACCGAATGATTCACGCTCCTCTTGAATATGAAACATGCAGATCAAATGTAGACGATCTGGGGATTGTAATTGTGGACTGGATCCAAATATAGACAAGACCAGCCTCCATGTAACATTTTAAACATTTTACTAAAAAAAACAAAAAACATTTTGCGTAAATTTAAGGACTGTTACAGCTTTCTCTATTCTAATCTTACAGATGTTTTCATATATTACAGTGAGGTCATGGCAGGTTGAAGTTATTTGTGGCTGGAGCTTGCTGGCCTGTGTTAGACTCTACTCGTGACTACGAGATGTGGTTAAAAAAAAAGAAGCATGTTGACAGGCCCTCCACCCTTTGCAAGTCGGATTGGCTCATCTGCAGCAACAGAGTGCACACAGCATCAGCAGGGGGCAGTGTTGCAACAGCAATGACAGGTGAAACCTTCTGGTGTGTGATTGGAGTGTGTCTAAAACATGTTAGCATCACATTGCAAACTCCTTTCCCAGAACAGAAGTCAATTTACTTAAGAGATCTGTTAGTGGCTGGTTAGTAGCAGATATACCAGGACGTGTTTGTGTGTGGGAGCAGAGTGTGGCTCGAAGCTCAGTTAATTCAGGCTTTAGCTCGTCAACCAGGGGCCTCATTTATCAAATCATCAGAGGAAAAAAGCTCCAAACCTGCAGACAACTTGGATTTATCATGCATATAAAGGCACAGCTGTGCACAGCTGTGGTGACAAATCCTGAACTTTCAACCCCCTAAAAGCCTCGGGTGGCACATGTGGAACAAGTAGTGAAGGTAAAGGCAACAAAACAACACTGGCAGCAATGTAAAGGTCCTGATTAACAAAGACAAGCAAATCTATCAGTTTTATGGAGGACTGGAAGGAGTAGTACTGCACTGCACTGTGTCAACTCAAGCTGATTTAGGCTTCATCTGTCCCCTTCCTGACAAACCTGCCAGTCTCTTAGGACACACAGCATGCTTCAGGGGCTTACATCATTGTTAAATGGTAAGCTGAAATCCTTTGAGTTTGGGATTTATAGAGCTGTGTTTGTAATTGTTCTTCAATGTGAAAACTGTACACATAAAAATAGTTTAATGTCCTGGTGAGCAGTGAAAACAAGGGTCATTCAGAAAAGTTTCCAAGCAGTGCTACTAAGTGAATTTTGGATCAAGAGGGACTTTGCCTGTCCAAAATCAGAAGTGAGATGTTGGCACAGCTGAAGTATAGTATTATGTACTCGTCAGCCACTCAACACCATCTACAAAGGAGGTCCCCGCAGTCCTTAGACATGCACGCTGCACACCATCCATTTCTCTATTTCATCTCTGGTGAGCCAGGCTCAGCAACTGCCGGTTTCTATGGATCAGTTGATCCAGACCTAACTATATGCTTTGTCAAAGGGAAACTTTTAAGCCTAATCTTAAAAGTGGAATCCAAACTGGGAGTTTCCACAGAAGAGGGGCCTGAAAGCTGAAGGGTCTACCTCCCATTCTACTTTTAAATACTCTAGGAACCATAAGTCAGCCCACAGTCTGAGAGGGAAGTGCTCTAATGGGTTTATATGGTACTATAAGGTCATTAAAATAAGATGGGGCCTTTTAAATTTGATTCTGGATTTAACAGGAAGCCAATGAAGGGAAGCCAATATGGGGGCAATTATGCTCTCTCTTTCTAGCAAAAAATGAACTCAACAGTTATACTAATTGTCCCGAGTGCATGTTTTGTAAACCTCATTGCCATCAATTCTCCATGAAGGGGCGGTCAGGTATGCTGGACTAACGAATGGTTGATAAATGAGGCCGCACTTTGTTTTCCTTCACGTTTCTGAGAACAAACCAGCTCCTGAATTGTGCGACTGAGGAGTGAACTGAACCCATGTGACATGCGAATGACAGAGTAGGTGGGTAGATTGAGTAAGTTGGGGGAATTCTGACCCCTGGGTGGAGTTCTTCCTCCCCTGGCTGTAATAGACAGACAGGGAGGGGGAGGAAAAGGCCTTGGCTCGGCTGCTCAGGGGCTGTGGGCCTACTATCATGTCCAGCCTGGAGAGAAGCAAACACAGGTACAAACATGCAAAAACACAAACTGCAAAAAGAAAAAAACAGCGTGAGATAAACCCATGCATGTATAAGGAATGCATACACACATGCAGATCTTTTGCAGTACAATGTCCGTCCTACCTGGTCTGCAGGCTCTTGATGCGGCACAGCATGTCCAGGTGACCGGCAGAGTACTGTTCGATCACGTCCTTCACATCATACGGACGCAGCGTCTCCTTAAACTTCTTCTTGGCTACATGAAACTTCATGATCCTGCATGAACAGCACAGAAGTTCATAAATTCACCAGAAGGGGGAGCTGTGGTCCAGCCGTGACACTGCCAGCCTGAGCTAATGTAAACAAATTAAAGCCTGCATTTATTTTGATAGTGCTTAATGGTGCTTTTAATGTGTCGACCTGTTTGTTCACAGCATTTCAAACGCTCAGAACAACCACTTTCTCAGAAAAAAGGCAGATTTTAGCTGCATGTGTATGTGGATGGAAACACCTGTGGAGCACTGAGGCTGAATTCAAGGGAACGTGGCTGAAAGTGGAGAGTCAAAGGGGTCGGAAACAATGAAAACATGCTGGATTATATTGTCACAGCCTTCTGATATACAGTTTTGGTCCATGTGAATGCTTCAAAATATCAAAAATATTTAATAAGATGCTCAGCCAGCATCATTTCATAGAGCAAAACAGGGGGTCCTGATGATGTAGTTTACATGTACATACCACTGAGCCTTCTGACACGAAATGTGATGCATATAAAAATGTACAAGTGACAAGTTATGAGGTGAGTGGCATACCTGGCTTCTGCTATTGTCAGATTGACTCAAAGAACATTTTTGCTGCAGCTGCAAATCTCATTTAGTGACTTCCTGAATTTGCCGTACCCCCGACTTACCTTCGCATCTCTGTGCTGTCATGTGGTTTCAGAATGTGAGACTGTTGTGAGTGAGTGCATACACAAAACTCTACTATGGGCTTGAACATTCGTTTTCCTTTGGGTGCATTCTGCGTAAGGAAGCTCGTTAGCTTGCAGGTGCCATGGAAGTGAGCACGTCTGTTTAGCTTCTTGGCCCCTCAGTGGCCTCGAGTTTGGCACGTAGGACATTTGATTAGTGAATTTACACTTTTCTTTGCACAATAACTGAAGCATATTTAATGAAGCTAATATTTTCAGAATACAAGCCTTTGAAGCGCACTGATGTTTATTTGCTGTATTTCCAGCATTTTTGATCCTACATAATTTTGTAAATACAGCAGGTACCTACGTTAAAGTTGTAGCCTTTAGTGAAGGCTATCGTGACTGATGTGGCTGTGTCACTATTTTCACACCTGTCTGTGTCCACAAAGTGATGCGTGACAGCCAGTTCACTTTATATGTGGAAGCTGGATAAAGGGATGAGGTGAACCACTGATGTTTATTATTGTTTTTTGATAAAACTGAAAGTCTGTCGATGCTCATAAAGTAAAAACTAAAAGAAAAACCAACATGAGGTGTCTTGTTAAGGAGCTCGTTCACCACATGGAGCCACAGAAGCTTCAGCATTATAGTCTTAGTTATTATATATTTAATAATTCAAACACTGAGCTGCTTTTAACTTTTATTGAACTCCTGCTGGTCGGGGACGTATGATGACCTTGCATCTAACAGGCTCTTTAGTTCTTTCAGGACACGAAGGACATGAAGACGTGTCTACTCTTGTTTCCTTGTGACACGATCACCTTACACAGCTTTTAATCCTCCCACTAACCATATTTCCTGATGATCCAAAAATAAACTAACAGAAATAACAACCATCCGGTCACTTTAATCCCCTGAGCTCAATCAGAAGATGGCGGGGGGTTGGTCGCAATCAGGGTTAGTTTGCCTGCAGCCTGGGTCACGGAAAACTGCAGCAGAAGTTAGACTGAAAGAGGAAGTCTCATTTCCTCTGTCTCACCTGACAGCTCGGATGACAGACTTGACCGAGGGCTGCAAGTCCTCCACTGAGATGTCGCAGTGACAGCCCTTCTCATCAAAACCGTCCTCCGCTGTAATGTTGGAGTCTGCTGTTTGGAAGAGAGGTGCAGAAAAGGAGGATTATTTATTTCTGTGATAGCGATGAAGTCACTTTATGCCAATGAGAACATTTTGCATCCACACAAACAACAGATTGCAGTGAGCCGTGTTAGTCTTACTGCTCAAACACACTAACATGCAGTCGCAGAAACTTCAAGTCATGGTTTGCTTTACAAATCACAGTCAAGATGGGTCTGAAAAGAAATGTTCCACCAACTGCAGTTCCTCTAATGGCCACTTGAGGTTGGCTCAAAAAGCGAGTCAGTCCCTCTAGACTCCCATGAATACACGAATAATAACTATACAATGGGCACACTTTTTTATGATGCATCCATTTGCACATTGGTGGAGCCTAAAATTGGGGCGGTTCATGTTTGATTGACAGGTACAAATACATATTTGAAATGTGAAGATCATGCGGTCTGTCTTATCGTGGCTAGCTCATGATTTTAGGTTGTGGTTATGTAGATTGATGGTGCTGTTAGGTTAACAAACTAATGTAGTTGTAAAATGAATTAACCTCCAAAAATCTAACTGACTGCGAGGTTGCAGACCAAGAAAAACTCCACTTCTTCGTAACAGACACAGAGAAAGGTTATGCATTCTGAAAGTGCGTCCTTTGTTCATATGAGACAAAACTAGAGCTCTTCGGCCACAGAAACGCTGCTTATGTTTGGAGAAAGAAGGGAGAAGCAGACAACCCAAAGAACACCGTCTGCACAGGGAAACACGATGATGGGAGCATGCTTTAGTGCATCTGGAACTCGGAATCTCATCAAGGTTGAAGGTATTGTGACGAAAGTAGTGGTGCAACGGATCAAAAATCTCACGATTCGGATCGGATCACGGTTTTAAGTCACGGATCGGATCAATTTTCGGATCAGCAAAAAAATAAAAAAGACAAAAATTGAACATTTACTTATTTACTTATGGAAGTATTTTTTACATGTTAAAAACATTCAACTCTAGACTCATTCTACGCAATTATTTAAAATAAAAAAATGGTACAATATAGGGCAGTATAGGGCTTTGTAACTACCACTCAATTCACTTTTATTTATAAAGCGCCATATCACAACAACACAGTCGCCTCAAGGCGCTTGATATTGTTAGGTAGACCCTACAATAATACATACCGCTCATTATATCGCACTCCGCTGTGATATAACGAGCTGTCATGGTCACGTAGCTTTCCGTTGCCCTGGAGCTCCACCCATTTGTAGTAGTTAGGGCAACAGAAGATTCCTGGGACAGTTCAGCCATAACTTAAATCTTTTCCTGCTCATACATGCCTGGGTACGATCTTGTCACTAAAGTGGACGCGCAACGGGATATCATAGCGTGGCTCAAGCACGTGCATCATAGTTTAAACCCCTTGTTTTGCACAATGGAATACGGCCTCCCGTCTGCAGCGAAACACTCCAATAGCTTTTGTATTAGCTTTAGCCCGGTCGGACTGGGCATGAAAGGGCTGCTTAAGTACCGCAAACTCCTCTGCTCCTCCACTTGGACCGCTAGCGCTGGCCATAACTATCGCTTGACAGACCCACCATGCGCTCTGTGGAGTGGGATCAGTTTGGATTACGGATCAACTGTGATCCGTTGCACCACTAGACGAAAGAAGGATATGTGAAGAAGAAAACATCAAGCAGTCAGCAGGCAAAACCAGGTTTGGGTAATAGCTTTGTCTTCCAATATGACAACAACTTCAAATTTGCATCACTCCTGCTGAAGAACATCTGACGAATACTTTGACCCTGGTAGTTTTTGTAGTTTTGGACAATTCCAGCTGTTTTTAGACAGAAACTCTAAACAAAACCTGCTCATCACCAGGTCACTGTTTAGTTTCAGAATAAGTTACCACCTCGATGTAACAGGTAAAAAGTGACTCAAGACTCATAAGAGACTAAACTCGGACTTTAAGCTCAACACAGCTTACTAATCCATTGACCTTCACTTTGTAGTTACACGCCTCTGCTGGGCTGTGGGGATCTCTGTGAGCTGGTGGAAAATCTGGAGTCTAAATAGTTTAAAGCACAGATCAAAGCTGTCCAAAATCCAGAGATTCACCTTAGTGTCATGGGGTAATAAAGCATTAAAGGTTTAGAAAGACTTCATTTTGATTTTCCAAATGGAGCAGGAACCCTGAGCACCCTGAGGAGGTAAGCACAGGGTTAATGCCGTTGATGTGTTCTGTTGAACTAAACACTGTAGATGACCTCAGGAAAGGATCGATTACTCCACAGTATGTGGGTTTTGTCAGACCTGCTGCTGATGAAAAACAGTGCTGATTAATGATTTGCTCCATTAAAAACTTTCCACTAAAATAATTCCTGGTTTCATTTCTAATTAAGCCAGAATGGAAGGGAGATGTTTCCCATCCTCTAATGTCTCACTTAGCCAACATGTCAGCGATCAGACGCAGCGTGGCTAACCAGCCAACCAGTTTGGTTTTGGCTAGCTTGGCTAATGATTCCTCTCCACCAGCAGGCCTCAGCCAGCTGGACGGCTCTGACACCCCATATGGCTCCTGGAGCTCACCACCCCCACCTTCCATCTATCCATCAGTCCGCCCACAACCACCAACTGGCTGTTACCCAGGAGGACTCGCCAGGCCGGCACTGCTAGGCCAAAGAAAGTGAGCACAGCAGCCATCAGCATTCCTCCACTCCGCTGCGTCATTAGTGAGCCAAACCAGTTCTGATGAGCTGGATCGAGAGTCGGTTAAATATGAGCAGTGAGGTTGGGGCAGTTGTGCTTATTTTTATATCTCTGGAACACCTTTCTTTAAATGTGGCACTCAAGGAAGAGCAAGAGCAGCTGTTTGGAGAGGTTACTCACTTCCTGTTAATCCCGCATGACTGAAACTGGCCGATTTTGACTTTGACAGCACACAATGAGCAGCAGTGAATGTAGCCTAATGGCTAAAATAAGTTATTAGACCTGCTCTGAACAAAAAAAAGACATTGAGACATTTCAAAATTTAAATGGAAAAAATTCTAACATCTTTTTTTTTTCCCCTCACAGGAAAAGCAGTTTTGTCCAGTACTATTTATATAACGCAAAAACACAACAACGGGCACCTCAAGTTAAAGACTCCATGATAATAGAGAGAAGATGATGAAACCAAGAAGGCCGTCTTCAGTTTTGGTACGGTAATATGTTACTTAGCATTTATAAGCCACCACTAAAAAGCCAGCATGGTGGAGGCCAGAAGCCAGACTCTAAAACAGGTGATTTTGCTTTGTTAATAATCCACACTGATATAAAATACCGGCAGTGAAAGCAGAATGGCACACGCACCATCAGTGGTGGAGCGGGACTGACTCTTGAGGCGGAGCGACGGTCTGAACCGCGTGCGGTCGTTAAAGCTCCAGCTCTTCTGAACCTTGGCGGGACTGGTGCCCTCTGTGCCAGCGTCAGCCACCGGAGAGCGCCTGTCGTTCACTGATGACGTCTGCCTATTCTTGATGCTCTGACCTCGGGGGCTCGCCATCCTCACCCGCTCCTTGAAACTCAACTTCTGGCTGAAATTAGTGATGAGGAGTAGTACAGAGGGAGATTGGAGCGAGAAGGGGAAAGAAGAAGGAAGTGAAGTGGGGTGGAAATGACAAAGAGGTCAACATGTTTGAGCGATAAATGATTTTCATGATAGCAAAAAGTTATCCTGGAAAAGTGTTCCTTCATAAACTGCTGAACATGGCAGCCATCCATTTAGTATAAGGGCTGCAGGACAGGATGGAGACAGACCAGCATGCATTGCAGCAGATGCTTTAGACAAAATGCAAGCTTTGGTTAGATATGAAGCTTCAGCTGTGTGATGATGCTGGTGGTTTGTTCCTGCAAGTGTGCACAGTATGCCGTCTTGTGTGACCAATTAGTTTACACATCATTAAAAGAGCCAGCGGGTGTCGCACAGTTATATTAAATGTATCGCATGTTTTTATATAAAAGTGTGAGTTTATGGATGAAAATTCATAAGAATTACCTGCAGAGTGTGAACAGGCAGGACCATGAGGTGTGGAGATAATTAGCGAGTGACAGATCCTGTGTTTATGCAGAATGACAGCATGCAAAGCCGTTCGCAGGCGTCAGCCGTGCATCATTTACACGCTGCAGAGGATTAAACAGAAGTCTGTGTTCTTCTTATTGTCACCAAATCAGTGGATTTTGGTCATGAATGTGTTGATTCGTCTCAGTAAATTCTTACTCTTAAACTCAATAGTCTGAGAAAGTCAACAGGATGGCTAATGATTTCATTAAGACGTTATCAGCCAACGAGTGCATCTGCATAATCCTCCTTTCTAATAACTTGTAAAATGAACGTCATGATCTCACTTGTTAGTCTCAACGTGACTTGACACTAATGACTGAGCCCGTGAAGTCATCAGGAAAATGTTGCATGCTAGGTTCTGATTCTAAGCTAACGTTAGCTAGTGTTGCTCACTGCTGACTGTGCCGAGTGGCAGTGAGGCCCTCGAGACTTTGTACCGACTCTGACTCGTATCCCTCGTTAGAAATCAGAGTGCATGATGTAAGAAGTAACTGAGAGTCTCATAGCTGTTAGGTGGCTAGCAATAAGAAGCAATGCTTCTCACCGGTGGAGGGGATGGTACCTGAGATGTCTGTGTGGGTTCTGGTGAATGAAGCGCGGTTTATCGTTTAGGTGGAATACAAGGAGGTGAGTGAAGAAGAAAATGTTGACGGTGCATCACACACACAATCACACACACACACACACACACACACACACACACACACACAGTAATTTCAATCTCACTACATCCAGAGAAAAAGCTAATTAGTTATTTCAGAGGAGCTGCTGAGAACGAAACCTGGCACAGACTAATGACCTGACAGTTAAAAACCAAAATCACAACAGGCACAAATAGCGCATTGCTCAGGCAAATATCAAACAAAAGGCAAATAGTGTGTTACTATGAAGGCGACTGATGTCTCCCTGCAGGGTTTTCTGACTCTGCTCTCTCTGAGGCTGCACAGCCTCCTACAGATACCCATGCACCAAGAATTAGTCAGCATTCCCAAAGAAAAACTTCATGTCACAGGGAGCAGAGATGCTGTGTACCTATGTTTCCGAGCAGTACACCTCCTCAGTAGCTTCTGTTTATTACTATGATTTTTACTAAAAACCAAGGGGAGATAGACACACGGTGATGTGTTACATGAAGCAGAAACAGATGAGAGAAAATCTTTCTGTCTTAAACCCTGGTGCATCTAAACACCACTTTCTTAGTGTAAGCTCTGCAGAATAACTGATTGATGAACCTTTACAGGACTGTATGCATGAAGTCTAGGAAGTACAAAGTAATACGTTTACCGCTGGAGTTTCAATTTGTCGACCACTGACATTTAGAAGCAGCAGAACGGAGGCAAATTGAGCTTAGTAGAGAAAATGAACATCTACAGGACCGTTTGAAAAAGGCTGCAATTTGGTGAGTCACACAGTTCATGCCGATATCCCTCATTTAACTATGTGAATTCAGCTGGGCCATGGCAACAAGTGCCTGAATCACCAGTGAGCGGACAGGGAGCTTTACACAGTCGTGTGGGTTTACTGAAGGTATAAACATGCAAATCCATTTTTGTTTCCCATGTAATGTTTTGGTTTCCTCACTGCCTTTTCTCATATATACTGATTCTGTTAATAAAGCAAGGCAGCTCTGCACTGACTGCACAGTGTGGCGTTTAATCCCTCCTCTCTAGCTCTGCAGTAGAGACATAAATAGAGTTGGGGGTTTTGCAGAACCTCCATCACCTTTTCTACATTGTGGTGTATTTCATAAACCAGGTTCAAAGGGAAAGAGTAATATAAAAAAAAAAGAAAGCACGCCTGCCTTCAGTTCGCAGCGGTGGTTTGCAGACAAACATTTACTCAGTGTTTCATAACTGCAAACACAACATATTACATCACACAGCCTCCACTGCCCTGCACACTGCCCTCCCCAAATGAGTCTATAAATGCATTGGCTCAAAGAGAAACATCAGGAGCACTGATTAAGCAAAATTAAGCAATATTAGGACATAATCACACAGAATAACATTTGTAATAAGTGTGTAATAGATGCCTCAGGCAAGAGGATGGTTTAAAGCATGAGAAAAATGTTGTGTGTGTGTTTTTTCCTGTGTGTGTAGTGAACGTGGTGTGTAAATGATTTTATTTTTTCTCTTTTGGAGAGAAAAAGCAATAAAAAGAAAAAACAGCACCAAACAGAAAGTCAAAACACTGAGTCATACAGAGTGCTTGTGTAAAAGTGGCTGCTTTTCCAGGCAACACATCATCACCCTTATGGCCTTCAGCTCCTGTTAGGGCACCTGTTCTGTCTGGGTGACCATGCAGGTCGCACAGAAGTGTGGCGGAAAGAGCCCTCAAAGACGGCCGGCCATTGTTTGAACATAACGATGCAGATCACGAGTGTATTAACAGAACTTCTTCAGCTTTGCTGCTGATTTCTCAGCGCTCATTCGTTTGCATTAGAGCATTGCAGGAAATGCTTTGTACCTTCTACTGAATTTAAGTGAGTGATAAAAATAAAAGCTGCACCACATTTTTGATGTCATGCAACATAAGGTACATCCGGTGTAGCTAAGTTGTCCTAAAGGCGATGACACGTCATTAGAATAGAAAGTAAATATGGGCGTGGCCATGGAGAATCACTAATGAGTGAGCTGCAAAGTGCAGATGAAGGTTGAAAAAGAAGTGCCACAATAACATCGGTTCCTCTAACAACCGGTGTCCAAGGAGTCCGGCTGTACAGCAGAAATAAACACATTTATAGCCTGATACCTAAAACCATTTCGGCCTCTATAGATTGATTCCCCCTTCATAACATTGTTGAGGTGTATCTTATAGCCGTCATTCATCTTTGATCTGCAGGCAGGAGTTAGAAACTCTAAAATCTAAAGCTGACTTTTCAAGGTAATCTAAAAACTCAAGTACTTACAAACATTTGACTAAAAACAAGAAGAAAAAGCCGTGAAAATAAAATTCAGGCACTCAGTTATTTTCAGGTAAATTTCCCAAGTGGTCACACGTGGTACTGCGCCGCATCAGCTTTGTTGATACATTCTCTGATTTGACGCCCAGCCCTATTTCCAAGTCATGGACTTACAACACTACGTAACACAGCGAAGGTCAAACAGTCACAAACCTTGTGGTCGACTCTCCCTGCTCCTTCCTGCAGCAGACAGATCAGAAAAGGAAAGATATTTGAGAACACATCTTTTCATAAAACTTCAGTAATAGTACAGTGCTTATATCAAAATACTGGTGCTTTTGCAAGTTTTAGCCCATTTATTAGAAATCTCATATGTTGTATTAAAGAGAGTTTAACTAATATTTTCCACTTTGTCTTGCATCAGTTTTTGTATGGTAAGTTATGTAATCTACCACAGTGAACAGTCTTTTTTGGTCAAAGTTACAATGTTATTGCAAGGTAATACAGTGCACCATTTTTTATTTTGCAGCTTGGTCTATTCCAAGACCAAGGAATATTGGGTATCTAACCCATTATTACAGGACGTTCATTTTCTGCACAACCGCAGTGAGAGCCTGGTTCACACTACCGGAAATAATTTGGACCCGGGCACAGTGGAAGCTGCCCTCTGCCAGGTTGCCCTTGGTCATTAATACTGGTCATAACCTTCTAGAACAGGGGTGTCAAACTCAAATACACAGTGGGCCAAAATTCAAAACTGGAACAAAGTCGCGGGCTAACATTAATATTTATTGAAAAATCTTCCTCCAGATATAAGAATGAATCTTTTGTTATGGACTCAAACAAGTTTTGCTGAAAAACTGAATATGGAACAAGCAAAGCTTAATACTAAACAATATATATATTAGCTGTATAATACCAGTAGGCCAGCTCTAATAGTAATTTGGTATGGCTTCGCGGGCCAAATGTAATTAGGCTGCGGGCCAAATTTGGCCCACAGGCCAGAGTTTGACACCTATGTTCTAGAATTTCTAGGCAAAGCCAAGGGGGCAGGGTTCAGAGTTCAGGGTTTAGAGTTCAGATGAGGTTCCTTCGAAGGGTGGCAAGACTCTGGATGGAGCATGAGGAGCTCAGTAAGTCAGGAAGGACTCTGCTTAGAGGTGCTTCTCCATCACATGAACAGGAGCCAGCTAGAGTGGTTCAGGTATCTAACCAGGACATATCCTGGCACCTCCTAGGTGAGGATGAGGTTAGTCCAACTAGCAGGAGATCCAGACCCAATAAGTGTCAAAGTTTTTGTGAAGTGGATGCATTATTCCACATAATAACATGAACTCGTTTGGCTTAATGAGAACCAAGAAACCAGTTTATAAAGCACACCCTGACGTGTACTGGACAGTGAACCTGCTGGATGCGCTTCATGTTGGGTAATGCAGGTTGTGCCTCATATACTTAGCACCGAGGCTTTTCCAGGCAGCTGATTTCTATGTTTACTTTTGCTTTGCAAACCTTTTCAGCGTGTAAAGTTAGCGCGGCCTCAGCAGTAGTGTTAACGGCAAATGCGAATTCTTCTTTAACGGCAACATCATAAATGCAAAGTTTATGTCCACAGTGATGAATGACACACTCAGCATGTTTAAAAACTCCTTTACTCTCCAGTTGAAGTCGTGATGATGTGAGCTTTAGGAATTCATTAAAATACAAGTTATACATGATTTATAACCGAGGAGCTAAAACCTGCAAACGCACCAATGTGTTCAGCATGATAGGGAGATTTCTGCATCACAAGCTTTGCCAGCAGCTGTTTCTTTCACACATGCAGAGGATTTGAAGGCCGCAACACATCGATCAATAAGAGGCCTGATGGTGGAAGCCTTAACAAACAGCAGACTCACTACAAACATGCAGGTTCATGCACACTAAAGCAGCAGCAGCGAGAGAAGAAAGTGACTTAAGGACTGCATGTTTCACACATTACTCCTTTAAATAAAGTAATCATAAAGCTATAACTGTACATTATATGTAACCATCTGCAATGCATTTATTGTATACATTGCAGATAGCTGTCCCAATATTTCCAGGCTCCACAGATTGCTTTCAAAAGCACATAGGAGGGGTGGAAAACAAACCCCAATCACTGGGTGTTTGCAGGGTGTTTAGGATGGATACCAAAAAATGCACAAATCATAAAATTTTAAAAATGTTCTTTAACCAAAGAAGAAAAGCTCCCCATTTCTATAATTCAAGGTGCATAACTAGCTCGAGTATTAACGTTTAGCAGCTTGGTTAGATGCCTGGATTATATCACAGAACTGTGGATAATTTTAAACAGAGTATTTAAATGTAAGTGCATAAAACTCATAAATGCCAATACTAAAACATGAAGGGAGGCGAGCTTTTAAGGGCAGCTTTTCTGCTTTTATCATGTGCTGTTTGGGACGATACCAGTCATTTCCCACAGCACGTGCCATCACACTGTGATGACCTGTCATTTTGACTTTCATTTAAATAAAAACATTATTGTGCCAATTGAACCCATGTGGGTTCTAGAGATTTATGATCTTTTCTAAAATGTGTAGTAACAGTACGTGGGATTATAGCAGTCGTGCAGCGTATGTTGAGGTCTTTTATTCTGAAAGGAACAGGAAGAAGCTCTTTTTAGATATACGTTACATAGAGCAAAGCAGGTTTTGGTACAGACTGGGCAGCTTCATGAATAAAGTGCTCGTCTTAGGTCAATTTAAAAAATAGAATTTGCTAGCTGGAGTAGACACGGTATGATTTATGAAATAATAAATCAGAGGCAGGGATGTTTCTGAAACTTTCTTAGTCATAAAAAATATTCAGGAACTGCATAGTTAAATCTTTTACCTCACAGGGTATGAAACACAAAACCTCAGGAGCTTCTTTTCCAGCACATGTTCAAATTCTGATCTAGTCCCAACAAACTAAACATGAAGTCCATGATGTTTGTGTGGGACAACATGGGTGATGAGATTAATGCTAAAATGTAGATTGAATTTTTTTGACATTGAGACAATTTAAGAAAAGGAACACAGCTTGCAGTTTTTTTTAAACTTAATTCCATTTTCCCAACTTTTATAAGCAGAAGTAGAAGCTAAAGTTTGTTTTTATGCTGTTATGCGACAGGTATGTCAGCTGCTGCCGTGCCTGGAAATTATCTTTGAGTTCCAGCATCCTTGAGTCAGCACATCTGTTGGTGAGGTGTGTTTACGTTTGTGAACTGGAGCCAATAAAAATTTGGCCTCAATATGTGGGGACACGAATAAAAATAATGTGTGGTCCCATTTAAAGTGTGACACCTTAAGACAGAAACCAGGTGAGGCGCAAACATGGAACCTGTGAATTGGCCTTCAAGCGGTTTCTGAATGCTGAGAAGCACCTGCAGCCAGGCAACACTCCTACGACTCAGACAAAAACATGTCAACTTTGGTGACGCGGTCCAAACGGTTATAAAGAACACGTGAACACCAAGGATGATTCGGATTGGGCTTTTTAGAAACTTGTTCTGACACCGCTCACACAAAGTCAGGTAGGTGAAAGGAGAACTTTCATGTCATGACTTGTTTTGAGCAGACGCGCATCTCACATGGTGATATGAGCATTTAAAGTTTACCCAGAATGCACTTTTTGAAGTGAATTCTCTGGGGCGTCTGTTCCTCTACACTGCAGACATTAAAGTTGTGTTACTGAATACGATCTGAAATGCTAGGATGTATCACGAGATACTGAAGCTCAGAGATGGTTATAGAGCAGCGGTGTCAAACTCCAGGCCTCAAGGGTCGGTGTCCCTGGGTCAGCAGACCTGAATCAAATGATTACTTCATTACCAGGCCTCTGGAGAACTTTTTAGGAGGTAATTTATCCATTTAAATCAGCTGTGTTGGATCAAGGACACATCTAAAAACTGCAGGACACCGGCCCTCGAGGCCTGGAGTTCCCCACCCCTGTTGTTGTAGAGAAAAACAAATCTTACTTAAATAAAACCTTGATTGTGACACTCGTGGTGATTTGGTAGCAGTTTTTAAAAGAGATTAAATGTGATTTTCAGTCCTGAAGGTTTCATGTGGATATAATAAATACTGACACTTAAAAAGCCTTTAATTTAAAATCATCCCTTTTGTACTTTGAGGGCTGTAAAATTTGAAAAGATTCGCACTATGAAGGTAAAATTACGTATGGTTTTATTATAAATACCAACTTTCCTGTCATTGACAGTAATATGAAGAACCACTTGATGGAAGTTGACGGTTTGACGGCACTGGGGGAAATTTCTCAACTCTTTCCGCATCCCTCATCATTTTCTGTAAAAAAGCTGCACTACAGCTAAAGCTTGACACACTGACAGACTGAAATAGGTGCGTCCCTCTAAATCACTCTGGGCCCTGGGCTTTTGAGAAGATGAGGGCTTTGAGTTCAAAAAGCCAGATTGGGTCATTGAAGCCACAATTGGAGTCATAAATAGACGTGCTATGAAAGGGTGACGGCTAAAATTGCTGCCTTGGTCCCTCAAAGTGGCGAAAGTTCCTGGCCCGTTGAGCACTCAGCGCACAGACGGAGACATTTATAGAGAAGCAGATGAAGGAGTCAGCTTTTTTTTTTTTTTTTTTTTTACATTAATGGAGCCTGGAAATTGTCTGTCATTTATAAATTAAAATTCTAAAATCACTTCTTCTATAAATTTTCAATAAAGAGAAAAAAAGCAGATACGTAAAACGACAGGACAGAGCAGGAAAAGTGAATAATCCAAAGAGGATCTAAATGAACTTTAAATTTGCAAAGTTGAAGTGCAGGAAAGGAATGTGGCACAGACACCAAATACAGACACCAGCTGCCATAGTTGTACCTACTTTGTAGGGCTGCAGGTATGCAACGCCTTCAAGTGAGGCTTCCAGGTAGCAATGGAAACCGAGTTCTCATCAGCCGCATAACTACGCCAAACACACTGCATGCAGAATACACAAAAAAAATAGGTGGAAGGGAAAAATTAAAAGACCCCCCTCCCAGAAAAAAATCGATAAACAGACAGAAAAAAGGTAAAAAAACAAACCAAAAGAAAAACAAGGCCCCAGAGGGAGTCAGGAGAAGAGGAGAAAAGAAAAGAAAGTAAAAAAAGAGCTGATTAGTGAAAACTAAAACACGGATTTGTCACACGTCTGGGGTCGGCCGGCGGTCAGGCATGGATACATGCCTGTGGATAGGCAGGAGGCTCTCATAGTGCCGCCACGTGGCGTCCAGGTAGGGCCTGGTGCTGTCGGTGGAGTAATAACGCCACGCAGCCTGGTACAACATGGGGATGCACAGGATGAAGAGGAGGAGGAGGAGATGGGAGCATATGATGGACAAAAGGAAAAGGAAGCATGTGGGGAAATATACGAGGAGGTCAATGTGAGGTCAGCACCAGTGAAAGTCAGGATGAAACTAAAGGTGAGTGAAGATCAGGTAGCAGGACGGAGGGGATCGTTGGTGTTTCTGTGCTTTATACCATAGACTGTATATAAAAGACAGACAGTGGGAGGAGTTTTCTCTGTAACTCAGCTCTTGATTTAACATCGCCGTGGTTCCTCAGACCCCAAAAAATAAACAAAAACAAAACAACCATCCCCCCAAATAACCCTGCCAGGCTTTCGGATTGTTTCAGACAATAAGCTCAGTAGGAAGGAAATGTTTTTGACACATTTAAACAATTGCTTTAATCCAAACTGGATTTCATCTGAAAGCTGATGACGAGTCCCAGGTATTTAACCCAGGATTGTCACGTTGGAGTTCGTTCCGGACATGTTGGCCTTGTTTGCGAGTTGTTGTCCCACCCTATCATCATGTCGTTTGTTAAGGTCATATAGGACGAGGACTGAATGTTGTTAGATCGTCTGGAAAGGGACCTCAGGACCGAATCATAGGTGGCAGACAGTTGGAGTTGTCGGACACCACTTCAGTTCAGTGGACAGAGATGCTTTCAGCCACCTACAACACTGACTCCTCATCAGCTTTAAAAACTGAAGAAGCCTTTGGAACGTCAAGAGATCATCTAGATTAGATGAGCTGAACAGACATTTCAAAGCATAAATAAAGTCACACAGTTTTTTTCTCCTTGTCATGAATCTTCCTTGGGCAGTGGTGGTTAGCACAGCTGCCTCACAGCAAAAAGGTCCTGAGTTCAATTCCACCATCATGCTGGGGTCTGTCACACCTATTGGTGTGAATGTAAGTGCGGATGGTTGTCTATGTGTTAGCCGTGGAACATCCCTCGGTTCCACCTGTGCTCGTAACGCCTGCTTTCAAAACGGCAAGAAAAGAAGAAAAACAGGAATCTGCAACCCAAATGGTGATCTCATGGTAGCCATGACCATCTTTTATATACAGTCTATGGCTATACTAGTAGGAGGTGAAAGAGATGATTGAGCTTTGAGAAGATGAGGAGAGAAGTGGGCTGCACAGGGTGACGATATCTGCTTTTCACTGGGTTTCATCGAGTCCACGAAGGAAAAGGACAAAGTGGAGAATGACAGTCGCTTATAGATTTTAACAACACTACAGTGGATTGAATCGTCAACGTTAACGTCTTCATTGTCCAGCCCAAAGCAGAGATATGTGTCAGAGACAAAAGAATAACAGGGTGTCTGTTTTACCTGGATGAGGTAGGCCGCTGGGTTTCTTCTCTTCTCAAAGTGCTTCTGTCTGTGCTGCTCCTGGACCTTCAGGGCAAAGCCTGAACCCAGAATACCCTGAAATGATATAAACAGCAATAAATACACACACCACAAATACACCATGATGTGGTTTCGTGCACTGGTAGCAGTGACTTAAAGAGAGTATCCTAGTGCTCCTGTGCAGGCTTCCAGAAGTTAGCCAATAAGAAGAGAGCAGGCAAGCACTAAAACAGCTTGTTTCAGAGAACTTTTGTCCTCAAGTAGGAACATAATTCAATTTAATGACTGAATTACTGTGACTGGAAATTAACTGAATGTTCTATTACAACAATACAACAATAATTATTATTATAAACTACAATAATAAGGTTGTAAATTTACATTAAAAAGAAGCAAATTTCATAAAAAAGGAAACTTTATGAGAGAAAAAAATGAAAACCTGTTACAGAAAACTGATTCATAAAAAAAGAATAACTTACAGCTGGCAAGGCAAAGAAGGAGATGCCGAGGAGGGCGAACCCCGCGGACAGCATCCGCCCCGTCCACGTCTTTGGCGTCTTGTCTCCGTAGCCGATGGTTGTCAGGGTGATCTGTGAAAACAATGATTATTATCAGGGCCTGATGGATGCTCATATGCAGCCCCTGGCTGTTTAAACAGGGAACTTTTAAACAAATGTTATATTTAAAATTAAAACTTGTGCTGTATCAGAACTTGCAAGTGACCTGGTAACGCCGACGTTGTCTATGACTTATCTAAACATCTACAAGCTATTAGTAGTTTTTTTATTTAACAGTAAGACGTCATTAGTTGGAAATTATAAAGTCATGTGGAATACCTATACCTATATCTACCTATATGAGGCCTGTTTTTAAAGGCATCTTTTAAAGGTTGTAGGACAGAAACTGGTTTCATCTTTTTGTTTGTGACTCAGGCAGCTTTTGCAGTTTTGGTGAAATGGTCCTTTAAGTGATATTAAAAGGGGTTATTTGGTTAGTAGACTTGAAAATGCATCCTCTGCTTTACTTACACTAATCTATTAAGACTGCGTTTATTTCTGTCAGACTGCTCAGTGTTAAATGTCTTCTGGTACGCATCGCTCCATTGTATTTGCATCTTTTTCCTTTTTGCATACAGCCTGATTTTCTCCATACAGAGACATGATTTTAAATGATGCCTTCAAGCACTGCAATCACATCTGAATGATTAAACCTGCGCAGAGGCTTTAACGGGCGTCAGTCTGTGCGGCCTTGGTTCCAAGAACGCTGCTGAAAGCCGGCGGCTCAAATGTTTATTCTGCCTTATCTGAAAAAATAACGTTTTCTAAGGCACAGAATGTGCACTCCTCTTGTCCTTTATGTGCAAAGACCTACCGAGCATCTGATGATGTTGTGCAGATATACACGGAGAGGGCGTTTTGACAATATGAAACCTCAGATTCAATGAAAATGGGACTCAAACATCTCGATGTCAGCAAGTGAAGTTTTAATAGAATTAAAAGAGTTAATTGCAGTAATGATTTAAATTGATGGTACTTAGTGCATCAAAATATGACTGCTGGATAAAAGCATTCTCATGTATTCAACAAAAGCCTGAAAAGGAGCACTTAATGAAGTGTATTCACCATTTAATGACAGGGGCAGATGTATCTGGCCGTGGACTGAAACTGGCAGGAAAACCTTACTTGGCTTTATTACTGTGCCGGTTTTATCTGCCCATCTGTACAGATATCCATCCATCTACCTCTTTGATTTGGAAGCCTGAACATTTTTCATTCAGGCTCTGATTACCATTCATGACAAAGGCTATTTTACACCATTATGAATTTCTGAGCCGGATTAATAATGGTGTTTAACGGAGCCGTGCAGGACTAATGTTTATGGACGGCTGTTGGTGCTCAGAGTCAGAGCTGAACAGGAGATAATAACGGCAAGGATTCTGCTTTTCTGCATCCAGAGCAGGACACACTCATCTGAAAATACTCTGAGTAAAACCCGTACTCTGCTGATGTCCAAGAAAGTCTAACTCAGGAGGGTCAGGTGGCTGCAGAGATTGGCTGACAGCTGGTAAAAAAATCATTTCTATCAGGGCTTTTTACTAAAGTACAGAAATTCCTCCAAACTCACCGTGCCCCACCACAAGGCATCCGCATACGTAGCAAACTCATTGTTGAACTTATTCTCCACAAGGTAGACAAGGAACGAAGAGAAGATGAGGACCAAGAAGCCGATGTACCAGGCGGTTACCAGTTCCTGCAGAAGTCAAAGAGGTCAATCAGAGTTTAATGGTGGAAAAAGGAGCATTTATTTAATGCACATCGACCTAAAACCACTTTTCTCTGAACACTGAGGTCAGAAACAGAAATAAAATAATGACGTGATAGGTCACGACCCTTTACAGAACCTTCCTCTGATGCAGTCCCTTATTGGTTTAGACATAAATATGATAAAACACTGCGACCAACTTCCTGATGTGCTGCTAAAACAGCTGCTGAACTGCCTGCTCTGAACTCTACAAGACCTCTGAATGTGCCCAGTGTTACCTGCAAATCAGGGACTGCAGCTAATCTGACTCATTGCTCTGCTCGAACAACGCTGTAGGAACACAGCTGTGCTGGTGTACACTTTATCAGGAACATTTAGGTAGGTGATGAATGCTCATGAAACCCTCTGTGACCTCAAAATAGCAAGGAAGAGCAATCAAACTATCATGCAGGATTAGTCTACTAGCTTAAAAATAAATAAATACTGCATAACATTTCATCTTTAACACCTTTAATTGTTTTAATCGTATAAACATAGCGTTACAGAAACATCTTGAGATTCCCTGAAGCTTGATCAGAAGCTTGATCTGCAGATGCCCTCCTCGCCTACCTTGCTGTGTGCGTAGACTACAGAGCCCAACAGCTTCCAGGTGCCTCCCCTTCGGTCCATTCGCACCATTCGTAGGATCTGCAGGAAACGCAGGCTTCGCAGGACTGACGTGGCAAAGATGTTGCCCTGGCTACCTGCTGACACCACCGCCACTGACGCTATCAGCACTATGATGTCTGGAATGAAAACACAAAATGACGGCTTACCAGCAGAAGAGGATACAATTCTTTATGAAGCTGCCTTTAAAATGATCTGCACTGATAAATATGTGTTTTCAAACAGAAATAATCTATACAAAGCTACACTATACAGACAAATCTGCTGGGTCACCAACACACTACACCTACAGGAGCTGCCTTGCTACAGGAACCAGGCCGTGAAGCTCCTGGCATGCCAGAGGAAGACGACCACAAAAAGATCAGAAAAACTTGAAATACAGTTTTTATTATGGTGGATTATGAAAACTGATTTTGATGCTAATGCTAGCTGAAGTTTGGACCTCTGCAGTTACTGAGTCAACAGAGCATTATTCATGTTTATGCACTTTACCTTCTCTGTGCTTGATTTTATACACCTGTGACTGAAACACTTGAATTCAAAGGCTCAGAGGTGTGCACCAACACTTGTGCACAGAGTCTATATTTAAAGAAAAAATTTTAACCGAGGGAAAGTTGGCAGAACCGGACTTCCACAGAGTGATAATAAAACATCAGCAGTGCTGAAAGTGGACACACAGAGACCACCTGGAAGTGTAGTTTTTGGTATTTATGGGTGGTGCCAGAGAACTTTATGATCCCAGAAAGGCTTCCCGACTGTGCATTATAACCCTGGAGGCCAGCTTGGCATAAGTTGACCTGCTGTCAGATCTATTTACTGGAGATATATATTACTGTAATACTAAAATTGATTAAATATTCAATATTACTAATATCTGAATGGACTCGAATATACACGCCACATGCCTCTAACGGCCTGTGGAGTGAATCTTACTTGCTTCGGGGTGCCTTGCTTCACTGCCTTCCTTCCATAAACGGTCAGCTACGTAAACATGAAACAAGAGCTCAGAAATTGAGTTTTTTAATCACTAATTTCAACACTCAGCTCGCTGTCGGGCTAGCGATTTTGCGAGCCCTGTATCTGATTGAGGAATCACTCATCTTTGGAAAAGAGAGTTTATTACAGAGAAAAGGCTCTTTCCTAAATAAAAGCTATACTATACGCTTCTTCTGGGCTATATTCTCAGCAGCATATTGTAGCGGGTCAGGGCTGTTCGGGGTTCTGTTTGTACAGTTATGTTTTGTTTATGTTGCCATAGTGACGGGTGACGCCCTCTCGCTGCGACGGTGTGTCCTTCCGGGGTCAGAGGGCGCCCTG